TGCTTCGTCTAAAAAAAAGATTATAATTACTGAATAACTAAAGATTGAGAATATATTTAAATATTTAGAGGGTAAAATATATTTAGTGGATAGGTGGGATGAATGAATGAATGAATAAATGGATAGGATAGGATATTAGTGTACAATAACAATTATCACTACCTTTTCATTGGCATATTATTATTAACTCAGTTCATGTTTTTACTCTTCAAGGTCTTTTTTTTTGTCAACTCTCATATCATTCCTTTTTTCTACCTGTCCTTTTTTTTCAATATATCATTCTTTCATTTTGCAATAATTTCCTTACCTGCCGATATCTCTCTCTCTCTCTCTCTTATTAGCGATTGGAGGAAATATTTAAAAGCTCATAAATATAGCTCATTTCCGTGTCAACATTCTCCTACACTACTATCCTTTTCTCTTTCTCACCTGATTCATTAATAAAATGTTCATAAAGGAAAAAACGAAATGAAAAATTTCATTTATAATCGGAAATAATTACTGCAACAAGAATTTTTAAAATAATAATAGTAATAATAATAATAATAATAATAATAATAATAATAATAATAATAATAATAATAATAATAATAATAATAATAATAAAAGTGACGAAGGAAAAAAGGCATTTAACAGGAAATTATTCTAAAAAAAAGGAAAGAAAAACGAATGAAAAGCCATATATCCAGTTTCCGGAAAACATCCATTTTTAAAACGAAAATTATATACTAAATGGTGAGAGGATGGAAACTGCTCAACAAATTTATTATCGTTTTAACAACCTTTCTTCGTCTTCCTTTTTGAAAAAAAAATAGTTAATGCAAATCAACTGGTTTCCTTTTAGCAATTTTATTGTAGTAACAACTAGCAAAAATACGAATAACAATAACAATAACAACAACAATAGTAACTGCAACAATAACAATAATTAATGTAATTGAAAAAATTTTCTCTTATCAATATCAATGATATTTTAAGTTATATCAATTAAGTAAGCAAAATTTTTATTTTCACAAGTGTTGGATGAAGAGGAAAAGATGAAAATTTTAACCGATAATTTATCAGCATGATAATTTGTTTACTCAGATCTTATTAATAGAATAATTTGTCATCATTATCATTATACTAAATATATTTTATTCATATATAGGTGACGATTGTCATTGAAATAAAATTAGTGTTGCTAAAATTACATATGAAGGATTTTTAAGAAATGAAAATATTATATGTATATGTAAATTTTTTGGAACTCCGAAATAATACAAAAAGATATGAAAATAGAAATTTCAAATAATTAATTATAAAACTAATCATCAATGAAACAAACAATTCAATTATAAAATTAATAATAAAACAAGCAATTTCATTTAAAAGAAATGGATCCATTACTATATTATTAGCATTCTAAAAAAATAATTGAAAATTTGAAAAAGTTTACGCATAACAATTTTTCAATGTTTGGTATAATAAATAAGAAAAGAAATGAATGCTTTCTTTCGTCTGTCAATTATTTCTCAAAAATTATTTAATTATCAAAAAAAGAAAAATTAAAATTAAAATTAAGAGAAACAAACAACATAGCGTAAAGTAAAGTAATGAATTTGAAGCAATGAAAGAAATTAAAATGAATAAAAGGAACAAATTATTAAATTTAAAATAAAGAAGAAAAAATCAATGAATTTTATTATCGAATAAGAAATCATTATTTTATCTTATCTTAATTCATTTATTATTCATTCTCGTTGTTATTATTATAATTAATACCTTAGTGATTCTCTCCCTCTTTCCTCTCATCTGTCCCATTTAACCCTTAAATCATAATCATACGGTCTGTTTAGGTATGACATATAAATGGGATATATTTGTATGTATGAGAGATATATCTTTGATGCATTTTGGATGTATTCTCTCTTCCCTTTCCTGTCTGCCCCTCTCTTTTTCTCTTTCTCTTTCTCCTACCTCTATAATTGGATTTTAATAATACCACACCTATATATTAGTGCAATAGTGAATCTTTTCATTCAACAATGATATATAAGATTGTATGTGAATGTACGTGTATGTGCGTTTGTGTATGTATGTGTATGTAAAGTTTATATACGTAAACGTACGTGAATGTATGTGAGTGTGGTAAGAATTAGTAGTGCACCCCCGCATTTTGATAATGATTTTGAAAGAGAGAGCTCCACCCTGAAATGAACAAAATAGCCAATGAGAGTCATTGTAATGGCTGTTTAGTTCCAAAATGACAGCAATCAAAATGATTCGTTGCCCTATTAGATGTGCTCCCTTTATCGTCCCACCCATCTCATCCCCCATTACGGTGACTCGATCAGCTTCTCTCTTCTCTCTTTTCGTGCTGTTGTTGTTGTTGTTGTTGTTGTTGTTGTTGTTGTCGTTGTTGTTGCTATTGTTGCTGTTGTTGTTATTATTATTAAAGTATAATTTATCTCTTATCCGGTATTTAATTCGCTTGATCCGGATTTTGTTTATGTTTATTATTCTATATGCATTAGGATAATATTTCCAACATAATTGTTATTTAGTTGTACTGAATTAAAACTTTCAGAATTAATTTTTAAACTAATTAAAGCCATGTTATTTAATAATAATTAATGAACATATAGGAAAGGAATGAATTGGAATATTCTTTTGCATATAATTTATTCATTTCAAATTTTTTCTTAGCTTTCTTTTTATTCAATATTTAAATTTCTAAACAAAAAGATATGAGTTTCACTTTTATGTTATTAATTATCTAATCTAATAAAATTTTTTCATCCTATAAATCTATTGTTTTTATTCGCTAATTAATGAAGTAAGTAAATATTAGAAGAAAAAGAACAAGGTAGAGTTAATTGTTCAATTTAACCCATAATTTCAAGCAAAGATGAATAATTCTTATAAATCTATTGTTTTCACTCGCTAATTAATGAAGTAAGTAAATATTAGAAAGAGAAGAAGGTAGAATTAATTGTTCAATTTAATTCACATTTTCATGCAATAGTCAATAATGTGATAAATAAATAAATGCAAAATAATATAATGGAATTTGAATTATGATTAAGTGGTTTAATTTAAATAATTGTTAATTTTGCATTATAATATATTGATGAAATGAAATAAATTATCTCAGCAAGTTTGATCATTTTATGTGTAAATTTTTGATTGGATAGAAACCAATAATTTTCATTTCAAATAATTTTTCAACCACCAAAATGAGGGAAAAAAGAATAGTAATAATAAGAAGAAAGCACTTCCCTAAATTGATTCTTAAATAGTAAGTAATTTCTATCGTTCTAAATTAACCATTATTTCTTTCGGGGGAATCAATAAGCTATCTTAAGTTGAAAATCGAAAAATGAATTTGAATTCAAATATCTAAACTTAAATGAATTTCAGAATGTGAAAAATGATTTGTTAAATGTTTGCGGAAAAATATATTATTTAAAATTTTAAATTAATAAATGATTTTTTGATGCTTAAATTAGCTATTCCCTTTTTTGTCGTATAAATTTGATGAATTAATTATTTCATTTTATAATTAATTTTTAGATATTATTTTCTGATAAAAGAATTGCTTGCTATAAAATAAATGAAAGGAATTTCAATGATATAGTTATTACAGAAATTTTGAAAAGTGAAATCTTTTTTTTTTTTAGAATTCATTATAAATACAAATTTTAATTAGGCTGATAATATTACAAATTCTGGTTGGTAATTTTAGTAACAGTCTTTTTTTTGTTGTTGTTGTAAATAATAAATACATAATAAATGTTGAGAGATGATGAGGGTGTAAAATGATCGTAAGTTTAGTTGTATGAGATATATCAGAATGGGAGAAATAAATTGACCGAGAGAAATAGTATCGCGGAGCAGAAGAGAAGAATAGAAGAAAACAGAGCAGAAGAGCTCATAGTTAAACTTGTTATCAAAAATATTTGTTAATTTGCTACACTTTGAAAAATTTCAACCATATGATTATACATTATAGCTATTACCTGTGGAAATCATACATCATTTAATTGAAAAGAAAAAATTATAATTTTTCATCCTCTTATTTTTATTACTACCTTGTCCTGTATTTATTTATTAGATATATATTACCTGTATAATGATACATTCATTACACATAATTGTGCATAAAATATTCGAGTAAAAATTTTATTTAGCAATTAATTTTTTTCTATTAATTTATTAATTTTGTTAAACCATCCAAAATTTAGTAATTTTATTAAGTCATCCAAAATTTAGTTATTTTATTAAATCATTCAAATTTTAGTTCCTTTCGGAAAATAAATAAAACAAAAAATTAATTAATGAAATAATTTCATCAGTAAAAAAGCTGCATTTGGAAAAAATAAAATTAAACAGATCTTTCAATGAATGAAATTTATTCATGACAATTAATATTACCAGGAAATACTGATCTAATTGAAAATCTAAGTAAAAAAGGAAGAGGAATAACAGTTGTTGGAGTTTTAAGTTTAGTAGGATAAATAGATTTAAGAAGTTAGAATGAAAATGTACAATGAATAAATTATAAAAATCATGAACTCGATTATCAGTTTTTCTTTTCTTTCGATCACCGGATCAATTTTTCTTTTTTAATTGATCAGATATCACTATATCCAGCATTTAGTATTATTACCGTTTCGAAAAACAGATGATTTATAAATATATATCATTATCATCTAATTTCATAATCTACATAACTGATTTTAGAAATGATAATTTTATTTCTGGTTTTCCTATTTATCTGGTTTTTCGTTACCCATCTTATCATTTTTCACAATGCATTTACAAAACACTTCAAACTAATTGATAAATTCACGTCTACCATGAATATGATCATAAAGCAGCCATAATTTTTATTATTCATTTTGTTAATTGGTGTTAACATATATCAGTTGCAAGCCTAATCAGGTTTTCCATAAAATGCACTATAAAATTTCATTAATTTATAATAAAGTATTTAATTTTAATTATTATAGAAGGTAATGAATCTATTGGATCCACGTCAATTAATGATGAATCCATTTGCATATAGTGTAGTGGACCCGGCAACAATAGCATTATTAAATACAACATCCGGTACTCAAAGCAGTAATGCTGGAAAAATTGTTACTACTTCTAGCAATTTACATAATAGTAACAGTTCGGGTAATAGCAGCTTCCGAATTTCTGATATTCTTGATTCAAATGAAGATAAAGCGAATACAAGTGGTGAAAATGGTTAGTATTACTTTGATATATACCAGCTTTTATAAATTTTTGAAATATCCCATAAAATTTAAAATTTCAAATTTTCTTGTTATTCTTTTTTATTTTTTTTAATTATTTCTTTTATTAATTTTTTAATTTTTCAAAATGATGTATTTATCAGATTTAATTTATCAGTTTTGATTTTTCGTCGATTAAATTTGCAAATAATTTAGCAGCTTAAAGAATTATAATTTCAATTATATGATAATTATTTCCGACTAACCATTGCATATAATTTATTTGAATCAATATTTAATTTTATAGTAAAAATTAACAAATAAATTTATATTTTATAAGTCAGTTAGCATGGTTAGAATAATTTTCTTTGATACCAATAATACATAAAGTAAATTTTTGTTTAATTACTTAATAAAAGCATTAAAATCTTAAATTTCAATGCTTCTACCGTAATCGTTATTTTGATAAAAATCAATAATTGCATCAAGTGAGCAAATATTTGTCGCATTATTTGTGTTAAGTAGTTTAGAATCAATCAGGATGTTAAGTTACCAATACAATCAGGTAATAATGTTATTCATTTAGCACCTGTCCTATTCAATCATTATTATCTCATCTCTTTTATATCATATAAAAATTATCGATTCAATCTCATTCATCGAATACAATTTTAGGATAAATTTTATATTTAAAAAAATTAAGAATAAAATTAATGAAAATGATAATTTTTTTCCATTATGATATCAGTAATTAAATCAAATAATAAAAAGCAATAAAATGATAATAGCTTGCTTTTTTTGGTTCAGTCTAACAACAACCGCAATTTAGTATTATTGAAGCGGAAAATATCTATTTCCGGAAAATACCTGTTTCCAGCATTAACCTAATATTAACAAATCTTTTCTTCTCATCATTCTCTTATGTTTTCTCATTTTTTTCTTCCATCTTTCTTTTCCTTAGTCTATTCCTGCTAATAACTAATTTAGAAGCTTTTCATTAGAATTATTACCAATCATTGCTCTTAGTCGACTAAATGGATTAACGAAATTGTAATCATTCAGGGCAGATGGAAGATGGAAAATTATGGATTGAAAAGGATCTTTTGAAGGGTTTTATACAAGGGGGGGATTATCTGCAATACCTCATTTTCTTCCATTTTTGTTATTTTAGAATAAGTAATAAAAAAAATTAGTTGTATTAATTAGAGAGACAAAGAAGAGAGAAAGAAAGGTGAGAAAGTTTTAGATAGTTGCGATGAATGGTATGGTTGGATATGTTTGTGAAGAATTAATAAGAAAAGCTTTCGTTTTTTCTACAATTGATTTAGGATTAACAAAACGGATTAACGGATAATGTGAATGATGAGATTTGTTCATTATTCATTTACTAATTACCTTCAAATACTTTTTGTCAGCTATTGTTATTGTTATTATTATTATTTGATTTGATGTATCATGATCATTTTCAGTTTTTCCGGAATAATACCCAATTTTGAATTGAATGGATATGAGAGGGACAGAGGGAAAAAGAGAGATAGAGAGAATGAAAAAAAATCGTTGTATGAGAGGGGTGGAATAGAAAGGGAAGAGAAGGAAAATCATAATTAATTTCAATTTAATTATATTTCAAAAATTATTTTTTAATTTGCTTATTTGCATACTTTTATTTAATTAGTTTATGGATTTGTCAATAGCAAAAACAAGCTTATTGACAGTTCTTTAATTTGAAAAATTAAAAGAGAAATATAAGAAATGAATGATAGGGAAAGAAGAGTTTGATGAAAGAATGAATTTAAAAAAAAATTATTTTTAAAATTTTTAACTGTTTTAATTACTCATTCTTTTAATTCTTCCGAAAATTAGGAAAGATAAAAGAAGAAAAAAAGAGTGAAAATCTCTTTGATAGATACAGTAGCTAATTGGATATTGTTTATTAATTTAAAGAATTATCATCATTGGGTGAAGATGAACGAAGCGGGTCAACGGAATCACATCGTTCCGGTTGCAGTCCACATTCTCATTCCTCAATTGGATGTGGCAAAAAAGCTCGCAAAGCGCGAACAATCTTTACTGATAAACAACTACAGGTATGATATAGTTATTTTCTTTATTTTTTTTACTACCTATTAAAATGGGTAATTTCGTAAAATTAATATAAATTTATTTTGTAGAAAAATTTTTTCGGAAATTTACAGGAATTAGAAGCAACATTTGATAAGCAGAAATATTTGAGTGTGCAAGATCGAATGGATTTAGCACAACGGATGGGCCTTTCGGATACGCAAGTGAAGACGTGGTATCAAAATCGGCGGTAATTAATTTCTTGATTTGAAACTTCTTTCTAATTTCTTTGTTTTTTTTTGAATCATTTTCTTTGTTTTTAACAGCGTTAAATAATATTCGTTTAATAGATAATTTTAAACAATAATTTTTAAAATGTTTATTACGAAATGTTGGTTTATTATTATCTTTGATGGATTTAGAGTGAATAAACAAAATTACTATTTAGTGGTTGGTAATAATATTCCATTAAAATTATCAACAACAAAATTTCTATTTCAAAAACTAGACTTTTGCTAAATCTACTAATAGAGAAGATTTGATAGATCCCATGTGTTTTGAAGAATAAAGTGATTCGCTTAAGCTACTAATTCACTGCTTTCCCTCATACTTATGCCCTACTTTTTAAGTTGTTGTTTCTCATTTCAGTTTTAAGGGAAAAAATAAAACAAAAGAAGCATATATTATATATACATATATTATGTACTGAAATAGAAACAGGATTGGTCTTTCCTACATTTTTGCTACCGTATCCTTAAAAAATTACTGTAAACTTTTTGTTGTATTTTTTGTATTTATAAAATAATATCTCTCTCCTTTTTTCTCTCTCTCCCTTTCTCTTTCTTCTACTACTTTTCTATTATCTGTTAAGAGAGAGAGAAGAAGTGAGAGAGAGAGAGAGAAAGAGAAGATAATATGAAATTAGTGCAAGGTTGAAAAGGTAGTTAGCAGACTTTAACACTCCAAAAAATGTTCATTGTACCATAAAATTGCAAACAAAAGCAAAACAGGGATTAGATGAGGAGTACATATTAGGTAGAAAGTACCATCTTCTATTTTTTGGTACCATTCTTTTATCCACCCTCCACTTACTAAATTATTTGTTAATGTAAACTGAGAGCATTCGAGCAAAAATACAACGCTTTTTATTTGATGATAACAATCATTCTTAGTTAATAAACCTATCAAAATGCTATTTAATTTATCTATTCAGAAATGAAAAAATGAAAAACTTAAATTTTTGAAATTAAACAATTTGTTAATTTAATTTTAACAATTAACTTATAAGCAATGAATGGCTATTATCATTATTATTTTCTGCATGATATTTATTACTCTATCTATTGGTATAATTAATAATTAATATTGGAGCTATTACAAATATGCAATTGAATTTCAATTTTATTGAAGTCAAAATTCTAGATTAAAAATTATTATTTCAAATAAATTTAATTTAAAGGACTAAATGGAAAAGGCAGGCAGCTGTTGGAATGGATCTATTGAATGAAGCATCGAATGTTGCGGCAATTCAACAATTGCTACGTACCAATCCTTATTGGGCCAACTATATGGCAGCTAATGCGCTAAATCATCCAAGACTTTTCCCGCTACAAGCAGCATCTTTACCACTTAGCAGCATCTCTACCATATCAACCGCAACACATAACAGTTTACCACCATCTACATCATTTGTACCACTTGCGGTGCAAGCAGCACCACCATCACCAATAGCATCATCGTCATCAGCAACGAATACGGTGATTACTGGATCACCAATAACAACTCTACCATTAGCAATGTTCCCATTTCAAGTACCCACTTCAAACTTTACCTTAAATCTTGTTCAAAGTTCACCAATACCAGTATCAGTTGAAAGGACGGAAGTAGAACCATCCAAATCGACTACCTCTAAGTAATGTTGAAGGAAAAATCACCTGAACGAAATGATTGCATTTTTTTTTGTATGAAAATTGATAATTTGCTTGTTCTTTGGATCATTCCATAACCATTCAAATCATTCATTAATCAGATTATCGTTATCAATGATCCCAAAATTTATTCTATCAAATATCCTCGCTGTTAAAACATTCATCAAATTTTGCAAAATGCTTCAAGAGTTTTCAAAGAATAAAATTTATTTAATATATTTCACAATTTGAAAAAATTTACTCGATTTAAAAATTAAAAAAAAGAGCTGATATGATAACAGATAAGCAATTTTTCTTTTTAATTTATTATCATTAATCTTTGTTAAAAAAATCTAAAAAAATTAATTATTTAATTAATTGATTCAAAATCTTGCAATTATTTTCGCCGTCCATTGTTTTTTCTCCATTCTCTGATACGTGTTTTTAATTTGCAGCTGTGATTTATTTTGAAAATTTCATTTGATATGCTTTAAGCATATATGATGATTATTTGATGTACAAAATTTTTGCACAATAAGTTGAAATAATTTTTATTTTAATTTTTCCATCTGATAATTTATCATTGATCGTTTTATTTTATTGATGTAATAACATGCATACACAGTAAGATTATTTATGCTAATACAATTATAAAATTATGCTACAGAAGCACTACGAATGAATTACATGCTTACATTATTATTATTATTATTATATTGTATTATTTATTATTATTATTATCAATGTTATTATTATTAATATTATCATTTATTATTATTACTAATATTATTATTATTACTATTATTATCATTATTATTATCATTATCATTATTTTATAGGACTAAATGAATTTGTTATCAAATTATATATATATTAAATATATTTATTTATTTCAAAATGAAATATTTCTCCGAAAAATGAGGAAATTAATTTTTTTTAAAAAAAAAAAGAGAAAATATGCTCTAATTTAAAGAATGTTATAAACAAACGCATAATTTTAATATGCTTTTCTTCCAATGGTATAATATTATCATTTGAAAATTTAAGAGGAAAAAAAAATGAACGATACATCTGTCGACAGACGGTCGATCGATCGATCGATCGTTCCATACTTCATTTGTGCATTCATTCGTTTGTAACAAATCAAATTGAGAGATCGGTAAAGGTGAAAGTAGAACGGGCAGATGGATGAATGTTACTAAATTATGTGTTGCGATTGTCGCTCTTTTCTTAAAAATTTTCTTTTCAAAATAAAAATTAAAAAAATAAATTTCAAAAAAACAGTTAGATGATAAGCAGATAAATTAAGCATTTTCAGTCTTTTGTTCTTCTCAATTATCAATTATCATTATCAATATAATTCATTGTGAAAAATGATAAATGTTAATTATAATTTACGATAATATATTTATGAAATTGTTCAATTCGATTGATATTTCAAATCATCGATCAATGTTTTGAATTTATTTTTTAATCATATTTATGTTATTGGATTAAATGATTGATATAATTAAATGATTTAATCATATTTATGATATTGAATTAAATGATAAATTAAATGATTGATATGATGGAAGAGTATAAGACCCAATAAAATATTTCATCCTCTTGATAATTTTACGTTAGTTATGATTGAAATAAAATTTCCCTGAATGAATCATAAATGTAATTTAATTTTAGCTTTTTCATGATGTTTCATTATATTTGATGAAAATTAAAATCATTTAATTTATACATTTTGAAAATTGTTTCCACCCTTTTTATATATTATTTTATAAAACGATAAATTTGTAATCTGAATTGCTATGATATTTATAAATTTATTTACCTTACACGTAACATTTTGCTGACACCTAAAGGCTTCGTTTTCAGTTTCCAATTGAAATTTTAAATTGCTAAAAAAAATTTTAGCAACTGAATTTTGAAATTAATTTTTGCCTAATTGAAAATGTAATTTATTATTTGAAATAATTATAATTATACATATATGATTATTATAATTATACATATATTATACATATATGTATAATAAAGAAACAATTTTCTCTTCCTCTTTTCTTTTCATTTTATTTTTGAATTATAAATAATGAAATTATAAAATATACAAATTGTGACATAATAAACATTGATTGGATCATCATCACAATAAACAACAATTATATTTGGCTATTAAAAATGAGAAATAGAGAGGAAGAATATAAAGAAAGAAATTGAAATTGCTGACATTGAAATAATGATGATAATTATGATAGTGATAATAATAATAATGATTAATAACTAATAATAATAGTATTAGTAATAATAATTATGATTAGATAGTAGTAAAATTGAAGGTCATCAATATGCCTATCCTTTGTTATTCATCCATCTAATTTCCTACTTACCCATATTATTATCAGTATTCTTTTGTTAAATTAATTCAAAGAAAAATTTTTATGAAATTCTTTCAAAAAATATAATTATTACAACAATAGTTAATTATTTTGTCTTTGTTTATTTCTCTCTCTCTATCTCTCTTTCTTTCTTTATTCTTCTTTATTTCATCATTTCTAATTCATCCAAATTATTGTATCATAATTATTATAACGCTAATCTCTTGCCTTTTTTTCTTTCTCTCTTCCTTTCTTCTCTCTCTCTCTCTCTCTTTTATTTTTGAACTTTTTTTTAATCATTTCGTGAAATCTTTTCATTTGAATGAATACATTAATTTTTTGCATCAATTACGCAACAAATGCGCAAATTGTCATTTATTTCATGGAGAGAGAGAGAGAGAGAGGGGAAGGGAGAGAAAGGGAGAGAGAGGGGGAATTGTTAGCATTGTTTTTAAAGAAATAACCAATGTTATTAAGTTTTCATTTTTCATCACCAATTATTCAAATTCTTAAATTTCCTTTTGTTTTTTCTCCCTCCTTCTCTTTCTCCTTCTCCTTCCTCCTCTTCCTCCTTCTTCTGCCTCCTCTTCCTCCTCCTCTTTTCCCTCCTCTTTCCTTCTTCACTTTCCTTTTTCAATTTACCTGTTTAAAAACTGTAAAGAGAAGAAGTGAAAAATTCCTGTTAAATGAATGTAGAGAATGATACTGATTATACTGAAGTTTACTTTTGACAATTTTTAAGTATCTAATTTGTAAAATAATTGATTTGAAAAATGGATTTATGAATCGAATAGTAATTAGATGGAATGTCTTTCAAGGATGATCAACGTGATATCGAAGAGCATCGTGACAGATGACGATGACATTGATCATAATTTGACAACTTACATAGTTTAATTTTAGCATGCATATACTTTTATATTAACAGCTGTATGAGTGATAGACAGAAGATAACTTATCATTAAATTCTACCAAAAATTTGACAACTAAACCGATTGTAATGATATGTTTGTGAGGTAAATAAGTGATGTATAACTCATTGAAAACACAAACATAGGTACATATTCATAAATTATTATTATTTTTTTTTGAGCTAAATGAGGTGTGGAAAAAATTGCATGATCATAATAACAGCGATTATAGATAGCTAAGTAAGCAATCATAATCATAATATTATAATAGATAGCTGTGTGATAATAGATAACAAAAACAATGGCGCTAACTAAACAATCATAATAGATAGCTAGGTGATAAAAGATAGTTAGTAAAAATAATGATAATAAATAGGCTAACTATTAAGGTTGATTCAGCCTGAATGGTTAATCAAAACAATTTACTTGTCCTTTTTCCTCAGGAAAAAATATCAATGGATAATTAGTTAAATTAATAACTTTTAATTATTCCATTATTTTTTATAATTATTATTGTTTTTTTTTTTACTGATCGAATAAAATAAAATTATGCAATAATTCTTGTCCCAATAAATTGATCCAAAAATGATCAATCAATCAATCAATCAATCGTTTTAAAATAATTTTATTATTATTTAAAAAAAATTGATTAAATATAATTTAGAAGGAAATAATTGTTTTATAATAATCATAATTTCCTTTCCTCTATTTTTTCACTATCAATAATATTTCATAAATTATAATTTCTGAGTTGGATGAAATTTTCCATTAATTGATTCCGTCTAATTATTCATCGAATAATCTCTCATACTTATACTGTCAATTAATATTAACAATTATAATACACAATGATTCACATATGAATAATCATCTTATTTTCACAAAATTGTGCCAAAAATGGTGTAGAGAAAAGATTTACAGTAAAGTAGGGATGAAAAGTTTTTAAAAGAAAATAAATTATGATGGAGATGAGATGAGATGATACGGAACGAACATATCCATCTATATCCATTTGTTGAAATTGAAATTGGATAAGAATTGATTGATGGACAAATGAACAGAATTGGATATCATTTCGGATGGTATATTAACGCATCAAATATTAAACATAAAAATGCGACAAATGCGCTTTGTAAAATTCATATGATATACTTTTCATTATTTCATTCAAGAAATACAACAAAATCCAATTCACTTCATCTTTCATTATCATCACTAGTCATTCAAATTATATACCATTTCTAAAATATATTTACTACATATGCTGTAAATACTACATATGTTGTAAATACAACACATACACAAGTGCACACACACACACACACACACACACACACACACACACACACATGCACAGTCATATAAAATATATTATGAAATGTCATAAATTTTCAAATTTGGTTAATTATAATTAAAGAAAAGTTGATTTCTTATATAAAAATTTGTTCTTTTTATTGCTCAGAAATAGTATCTGGATTGTATATAATTGGAAAATTAATAATTGAAATACATTTAAGTTATTAAAAATATGATTGATATGGACAAAATCTTGCTAAATACATGTTTTCATCAGAAAAGTCATTTCAATGATGATGGTGGAGATGATAATGATGATCAGGAACATGATGATAACGATGATAGTGGTGATGATAATGATGATGATGATGTTGATTGTGATGATGATGATCATGATGATGATGACGGTGGTGATGATAATGATAATGATGATGATGGTGATCATTTTTTTCATTTAATTAAATTATCTGTCAAAGTTTTTATCAACATACGGGCAATATCAATAGCAGTGTAATTTTCTTAATGTACATAAATTATTTTTCATTTTCTTTGTAACTTATCCTTCATTTTCTTTTTGTTTTTTCTTTCTTCTTATCTTTCATTTTATCAATTGGGATTATTACTGCTGTAATAATTATCATTTTTCTTTCCTTCCTTCTTATCAATTGTTATCGTGATATTAATTAATATTGCTGCAATAATTATCATAAAACTAAAGAAAAAAAGTGCAACTTAGAAAAAAAACCTTATTTAGAAAGAGTTGAAAGGTTAACAATAAAGTGCAAAAAATATTTTTTTGACAATTGGAATATTAAAATACAACCTTTAATCTTTTGATATCACCAATCTATCATCTATCGTATAAAAAAAATATTACTGATAAGAATGTATGATAAATAGATATTATCGCTCTTATCGCTGTTACTATTGTTTGCAAAAACATCAAGCAAGAGATAATGACTGATGCTTTCTTGTAATTTGTGACAAATTGCAAAAAGAAAATGGACGATGCTTTCAAGTGGTAGGATAGCAGAAAATTAGATTAAAGCAGATTGCTTTCAAAGGCATTTCATTTATCTCAATTAAAACCTTTTCCTTTCTTTTCCTCTCCCTTTCAAACTCTCTCTCTCTCTTTCCATTCTTTTTCAATTTTCAGAAGAAAATCTTCTCATAATCAAACCAATGCCTTTCTATCTTCTTAATTTGCATGTCCTTCTATCCACCCATCCATCCGTCCATCCATCCATCCATTTACATTCCATTCTTTCCTTCATATACTCCAATTATGCTTCCTCCATTTTTATCGTTTCAATTTCATACCCCAAAATTTAATTCAATAACGGAATTTTGCAGCTCATCACCTCAAATGCGTTTTTATTCATTAAAACATGTTTTCTGGGGATTTCCTCAGAAGTGTTGAGAGAAAATAAAGAAGAAAGACAAATCATTTCATTTATTATTTTAGAGAACAATACAACAACAATTACCAATTATAACTGATAATATTAATTAATTAATTAGTATTAACTATCACTAGTATGTGTGCTGAGACTGAGTCGGATGATATTTCAGGTCGAAGATTTTCGTTATCAATTCCACTCTTCATCATATCACCATGAAAAATTATTAGTATCTACTTTTTCTTTTTTATCATTAATTTATATTCAATTATAAAATCATTCAGTAATTAATATTAACTATATTGCCTGAGACAAAAAAGTAAAAGGGAAATTGAAATTAATTTCAAATTTTAATTTATCAATTTGATCGATTTATTAAATTATCAATTAATAGCAGATCTAATTAATAGCATTCAATGAAAAGTAATTCTATTCTATTTCAATTTGAATAAAACCATACTGAAACCGAATACAAAATATCATAATTAAATATAAGTAATTAAGAGTAGTCAAAGCGGTAAGACTTTTTTCTTCAAAGGTAAAATAGGTTGTTAAGTGATGAAAATTTATACATTTACATATATATCTCCCTTTTGTGAGTGTGTGTGTGTGTGTATGTGCACAACATGAATTATTCTTATGATAATAAGTGGCCACTTCTGAAGTGCAAAACAATTCAAGAGGAAGTGTCAAATTGCAATATCAAGTATTATTAAGTAGCACTTTTACCTATTTCATCATTTCATATCCTACCGAAAATTGGAAATAAAGGGTTAATACATAATGATCGTTGAATTGTAACCTTTGAAATTACAATAATTGCCTATAAATTAACTTTAATAAATTATTTTGCTGATGTATAATATGAGAAAAATGAATAATTATTATAGATAATTTAATCAATTAATATTGCCATTTTTCAACACTTTTAATTTTTTGTGCACACATTAAATGTTGAAAATGTTATTATCAACCATAAAATAATTCGCTCGATTTTTATTTAAATTAAAATTTTTGATTTTATATTTTCAAAACTATGAATATTTTACAAATAAATTTGGAAAAGAAAAGATGATGTAAGTAGAAAATAAATCTGTTCATTCTATAACGAACATTTTGAAAGTCAATTTTTATCAACAGAACTACTACAATTACTACTACTATTACTGCAATTATATTCGATTATGCATTTTTTTGCGGGACATTATTCTTTACTATATATTTTGGAATAATTTAAATCACTGAACTAAATAATGAAAATGAATTAAAAATGATTTAACATTTATGATTGCAAACGATGTATGCATGCAACATTTATGATTGCAAACGATGTATGCGTGCAACATTTATGATTGCAAACGATGCATGCATGCATGCAACATTTATGATTGCAAACGATGTATGCGTGCAATTTAAAGTTGCATTTTTTTCGAACATTATTGTTTGCTATATATTGAAATAATTTAAATCATTGAACTAAATAATGAAAATGATTTAACATTTATAATTGCAAATGTTGTATGCATGCAATTCAAAGTTGCATGTATGCATGCATTCATACATTGCATTCATATTTATGTGAAATAGCAATTATTAAAGTAATATTTCGTTATGCTCATTAATTTCATAAAAAAAAGTTATTCGGTTTTTTTGTAATGTTAAATGTAAAAAAGTAAAATTACAAAACAGTGTGAAAAAGATGACAACATATGCTATTATTAGTAGTACTGTTAATGGGTTTATTTAATTCGCTTTCGCAAGCAATTTAGTTCTATCAATTTTTCTCTTTCCCTCTCTCTCTCTCTCTCTCTCTCTCTCTCTCATTAAATTTTTATTTTAATCCATTCCATCAATTTTTTGAAAATCATTTTTCCTCTTTATTCGCAATGCAAAAATTCCATCAAAAATTCTCGTTACCATAGTTGAAAAAAGGTGGAAAAAAACTGAAAGGTAATGTATTTCTCACATGGAAACAAAACTAAGCATAAATATGGGAGAAAATCCGTAAAATTTTATTTTTTCATCGGATTGCATTCTTCCTGTGAAAATAAATATTATTTATGGATGGGATAATGATAATATGAGTGACGACAATAACTGAACAATATCATTCATACTACTACATACTACTAAACAATAATAATTACGATTACTATTATGATGATGAAAATAATAATAATGATTAACAATAATAATTAATAATGATGATAATAATGATATTAGTAACAAATAATAGCAATGATAATAATAATATTAATAATGATAAGTATTACTATATAATAATGAAATTAATGGTAGTATTTAGCAATAATAATTAATAATAATAAATAATGCTAATAGTAACAATACTAATAATAAACAATAATAATTATTATTAATAGCAATAATAATAGTAGTAGTAACATTAATAACGATAAATATTACTATTAGTAGTAATAAATAATTAATAATGATCATAATAATGATAAAAGTAATGGTAATAATAATGACAATGATAATACTAAAGTAATACTATTGTCAACTACAGCAATAACAAATGTTAATTATTAATAATAATAATAATACTAATAATGATAGTAAAAATAAACAAGTAGTAATAAACAATAATAAGTTAATAGTAATAATAATAATTACAATAATAAAGATAGTAATTATAATAGTAGCTTCTATGAATACAATTAAATGATATAAAGCAGGAAAAAAGAGATTTGATAAAATTTAAAATGTAAAACAGTTTATTACTATTCCATTATTTAATTAAATATTCCTACCTGTAATTGAGTATTAATTACAGTTAGTAATTATTATCATTAATTACCTGAAAACTACAATTTGCATTATTAATTGCTAAATTATTCCATTTAATCGATCAATCAATTAATAAATGAAGGTAGTTAAAGAGTAAGTAATCGAATTTTTCCTAATTATTTTGTAATTGCTACTATTCTATTAAAATTCATTGGAATATTTGTTGTCTCAAAGCTATTCTTTTATCTCATAAAACAAAGCAAAAATAAATAGAAAACTTCAATGAACTCAAATACATAATTTGTTGATACAAATAAATTGTAAAATGGGATATATATATATATTGTTAAGCAAAAAGTTATTTAGCTGCAACTGACTTATGTGATATTTTACTCTTATGTATTTGTATGTTATTATATATGTTAACTTTATCATATCACGCTGATAACTCATTTAGGTAACAAATTATATTTCTAAATTGGAATAATCTTATCCTGTTGTATTCATTGCTATAATGTTTCTATGTTTAGCTATGATTGATATTATTTTGCGGGAAATAATGAGATGATATTTATTTGCTTTACAAAATGATTTAGCAAATGTAATTATGGGGTAAAGGTGATGAAAATGTTCAGATAGAATTCTTCAAATTGATCCAACAATTCTTGACGTAAATTATCGTTGTAAATTGACCATTAAGGGATGTTTTAATAACTCTCAAATATTCATGAAGGACATTTTCAAAATTTCTGCAATCGCAATAAACCTTAGCATTATTATTGTTATTATTATTGTTATTATTATTAATATTATTATTATTTTGTTGTTGTTATTACTATTATTTTCAGTTGAGTGAAGTAGGATGATTAAAATGCATATAGGAGAGGATAATTTATGAAATCGTTTCACACATCTCAGTAATAATTGATAAAGTCTGAATAAGTTGAAGAAGGTGGAAAACTAAAATGAATGAGATTGAGGTAAGATAGGTTCTGACCGAAATTACAGTAATTGCTCATTATTACATTCATATCGTTAACTATTTGCCTATTATCATTATTATTTATTATTATTATTAACTAATACTATTGCTATTAATAATAATTATTATTGTTATTATCATTATTATTACTATGATTATTAATATTATTTTTCACAATTTTAAAACTCTCAGTAAAAAGCAATTATCAATGATCAATGATTTGGTAATTATAATCCCATTATTAGAACAAATTCTATTGCTAGCGAATGTATATTAGTGGTAGGTCGGTCGATTGATGAATGAGCAAAAATGAATGGAAAATATTCGGATAATAAAAATTCATTGATGAGGTAAAATTGCCAAAATCAAACAAATTATTGAAGATGAATTGAAGGATGACGAGGGGATTGATTTAAAATAATTTATCGCATCCATTTATTCTAAATTTAATAAACTTTATTAATTATATTAATTAAATTGTTCTTAGTCAAATAAAAATTTATATCTTGAACAGATCATTTCTGTTGAAAAGTAGATGCTTGAATTTAAGCAATCTTTGTAAAATTTTAAGATTCGTTTGAAAATGATTGCAAAATGAGCCGATCAGCAATATTTTAAATTTGTTTGTTTGAAAATGAAAATTTTAAATTTATTTGAAAATGATTGTAAAATGAATCGATCAGCGATATAAAAGCAAATGATACATATGTGATATGAAAGATATGATAAGATAAAGTAGAATAAGAGAGCAGAATGGGTTAAATATGCAAAAAGAAACTTAGAAATGGCAGATAATATTTATCATAACGGTGCTCCTCTCGATCTTATCATATTTTACAATTTATAAATCCTAAATTTTTTTAGCAACACAATGCAACATATTATATATCATTTAAATATCAAATAATGAGTGATACTAATCATCCTAATGCAAACTGAGATAATGGAAAACAATTATTACCTTAAATACGCATAGTAAGTAGGTAAATCTAATTTGGAAAAACAAAATTAATTAGTCAATTTTAATTATATAATTAGCTGTCATATAACTGTATCTTTGCATATATGTTATGAGATATTATATTCTTCTATGTTACAAAATCCTATGAGAGGCGAAAAGTTAACAAATGTATACAATAAAACAATAACTAAAAATTCTTATTTAATGTCTTTATCACATATCATTATATCAATAGATATCATTATACTATCAGATAATAGTTAAAGTAAAGAAATTAATTGTAATGATGTGATATTTGCTACTTTTGCAAATTGTTTGTTTTTATGCAAAATTTTCCGAAATCTTTTAGATCATTTTAAATACGTATTCTAATATTATAATTAATTAAATTTATAAGCAATCAAATTATTCCTTTGTATTTTCAAAAATGATCATTTAAAGGAATGAAATAAATATTTTTACATTTTCAGTATTTGTTTCCATATTTGTTGGAATGAAAATACCGTAACCATACGAATTCTACAGACTAAATGTAATGATATCAATTATCAGTGTCATTGATAATTTATTAATTATGAATGATATTAATGATCTCTTCAGTATCTAAGTAAGTCTTTGAAAATTATAAAGGAAAGAAGCGAAAAGAGAGTGTTTAAATGTAGGATAATATTGAAGAAATAGATAATAATAGGAAAGAGTTAAAGATAATAATATAAAGCCAAATGTCTCATTACATATAAATTGCATAAGGCGTTGCACAAATGGATGAATGATAAAAAGCGTTGACCAATTAATTAATTAGCTAATTACACATTTTTTTTCAGGTACTTTTTCTAATAATTTAGATAGTCGCAAATTCTTTGTCTTAATTTAATTCTAAATTTTCTTTCTTAATTATTTGTAAACTTTTTTTATAATGATTAAAAAGTTGATAATTAATGTAAAAATTGATTATATTTTTCTCTTTTTTTTTATCTCAGATATCATCTATTAAGATAATTGATAAGTAAGTGATAAATGCAAATTGCAAAATTTAATCAAAAAATATTATCATTAGAACAATTTTTTATTTTATAAATAATTATTCCTTCTAAAATTTCAATATAATATTATGAAAATTATGTATTATATCGTCGGAAATAATTAATTAATTAGTCAAATTTATTAAAGCTATTTAGGACTTTCCTTTGAATCATAAAAAGTAGCCTAAAGTAATTTCATTGTGAGTAAAGTTTTAATTAATTCTAAATCTTTAGCTCACAAATCTTACAAATGCATTATCTAATCAGATACATGTAATTCAAGATAGATTGTCTTTCTTAATTATTTGTGATAAATAAAATGTAATATTGATGAAGCACTAATAGTGAGCATGAAATTGTATAAAAATTAGCAATGAGAATGCAACATCCTTTCTTCTTTTCTTTATCATTGAAGTTTCTTATATCATTTTTTAATTATATATCAATTTATTCATTTGTCTTTTGAATCAAAAGATCAAGAGCAATCAAATATTAAATTAATTAGGCAGCAGTTAGGTGGAATAATTTGATAAATATTTTAATAGGAACTACAAAATCATCACTATTTATCACTTATCACTATTTATAGCGTAAAAAATATCACTTATCACTACTTGTGTAACATACTTATCGTATGATATATGACTTATCGCCATTATTCAACGTGTGACGAACGAAACTATTTGTGACTATTTCTAGCATATGACGATTTCTGGCATCCTTTTTGGTAAAGTTTTCAGATTTGCAGAAAGAACTCCATACTATAAAATTAATATACTTAAGGTGGCTTTTCATCCATTTTACACTTCTTATTTCATCTTGTCATCCATCAGTTAATAATATAAGCACTTTTCAACAACTAAACATACATATTGACTTTCAAAATAAGGGATACCTCACTTAATTTGACGTATCAGTAAATCGTTAGATCTAAATTTATGCTTAAATTTATGAATATCAACGTTTCGCCTTCTTTATTCGTAAGCTATACTTACCGTTCCCGTTAAACATGATTAACTCGTACAACGTAAAATTGCATCGCAAAAAATAATTGTACAACAATTTATTCGTATAAACAGCTTTTTCAGACAAAGAATCAATTAAGATAATAAACGAGCAGCGAGATGATAGCGACACAGGAGTCATATTAGCTGATTTTTACGACGGCATTTATATTCTTGTTCCTCTCTCGCTTTTCTCTCGTATACACATGAACTGTGGATGGAAATTTTAAATATTTTTAAAGACTCCGAAAAAATACAATAAAAGAGATATCTGAAGCTCATATTAAATAGTGAATTAACAATCAGTAAAATCAAAACATCTAGAATATCAATATGTTAAGCGCATTAGAAAGCTAATGTAAGAATGAAAGATAGGTTGAAAAGCTCCAAGTAAGTTATCAACACAGTGTTATATTTTTGGAATGATAAAGCTTTTTGCCCATAAATCATATAGAGAGATCAAATAATTCTGCAGAAAAATCACACAATCAATAAAACAGAAGTCAGTAAGCAAGGTCCATGTTTTCAAGCATAATTTATTGATGTTTTCAATTTCTGTCGTTTCTGACACAATGTAAAAAGAAGGTCACGAGCGGCTACTGGAACACAGCCGTAATTGATACCATCAAAGCGAAACCTTAAATTACTCGCAAATTCGATTTCGAACTTCTCTTTTTACGATTTTAACATACTTATTTTCTAAAAATTAATATTAAATAAAGACGTTGAATTTCAAATTTATCAATGATAACCTTTCCTCATAACCATTTTCTTTAAAAACAAAAATTTCTGGATCGTTAGACGATATTCGCAATTCGAGCGCGACTTTTGAATCGTTTAAAATGATCCGCGTTGGAACTTGTACGCCCTAAACGAAGACAAAGATTAGACATTAAATATTCTTCTCCCCAAAAAATTCATTTTCCATGTGAACAGTCTAACCACTCTTTTGGTATAATTAGCAATGTGCTTAATAAAAACTGATCGATAATCTGATAAACTTACATTTTTATCAAATTGACCGCGCAGGATGTACTCTCCATCAGCAAGCATTTGAGGTCGATGGCGAGGCTAAATATTAAATATATGTGTATGCTTAAAAGTACGGAATTCAAAAAAATATATATCGATGGGTACGGAAGAACATACCAATTGCAGATTTTCAGGTGATGAGCAACTTGCTCTTCTAATTTTCGGAATAATTTTAACACCATTGTCTGAATTCTAAAACAGACAGCACGAATTAAAAGACACGAATCCAAACTCCCCTGCCAGTTTTTGAGAAAACTTCGAACTTTCAACAGTTAAAAAGTCAGAAAAAAAATCACCAAAGGAAAGATTTCTATCACCTTTAAATTTTTAAAAACGGTCATATCAGGAAAGTGTTATATTTATGACTACTCAGTACTATATAAAAGGAATATCTTGAAAAGTCAAACGTGAACAATATTATCATTTTTATGAAATGCTGCAACAAAGTATATCTCCTACAAGGTATCACGTTAAATAAAAAAACAAAATGATTCAAATTATATTAAAAAAATTTGCCCTAGATAACGATGAAATATTGCGACTGCGAAGTGGTGCACGAGGCTGTTTCGGCACGTAATCCGTGGATTGACACTTTTTGCCTGATAATCGCTGAGTAGGAACGCTGAATCTTTCCGAAATCATACGATTCGCTTGCTGTCCCGCCATATTTTTTTCTGCCACCTCATTCGTAATGAATTGACTGAAACAACCTTTTAATCTATTAGATGAAATTATATATACATATATATATTTCATTCAAGGAGCGGGAAAAAAATAAAAACAAATAAACCTGCTGTTTGAGAAGTGAAATGGAAACGATTTTACAATCTTAAATGGTGCGCCCTCTAAGAATGTCTCCACCAAAAGCGCATCCTTATGAGCACATTCGAACATGCATCTTTCTTCTGAAAATTAAAGAACAAGTTTTGATTTATATGACAAGCATAAAATTTTTTTAAACCAAAAGCTCATTTGATAAATACCTTACCCGTTGCTATACAGAAAACTCTGAAATATGTGAAACATACATTATAACGCTACAGAATATTATCCTAAATTTTTTTAAAAATGTAGAGGTATCACAGTGCAAGAATACTGTGCAAGGGTCAAAACTATGATTACTAGAAATAATTACAAATGGATTGAAAAGTTCACTCTAAACATGAAGATCTGCAATGGCTATGTTGAAAATGGATTAGCATCTCGATAACATTAATAACGACTGAAAAGCCGGTAATTTCAAAAGTTTGAAGAAGAAATATATAAATCCGCTTTATTTAGTGTGAAATCTTACCATTTGATAAAGATGCGAGATCCTTATTACTTGTTGTAACAGCAATCGAGTTTGCGCTTTTTTTCAGAACAGCCAATCGTCCTGAAAAAACAAGAAAATTTCAACGGACAAAAAGAAAACTCCTTTGCGCGACAAACTTCGAACTGTGCTTCTTTTCTCCCTCTCTTTCTCATCTTCCCGCATGACTTTACTAATTTCTGTCATATAAAAAGCAGTATCTAATTTATAACAATATTCTCAAACTTGATATTCTTTTCTGAATAAATGTATTAGTCTTCAAGTGTTCCTCATAACTTGCTAGAAATGACCCAAAAAGCGATTAAAAATATAAGTTTAAATATGAATTTGATCATTTATTGCGAATGTTAAAGCAGAAAAGAATGGATCTAGATTAACAGATACCGACACTTCATTTTTTATTTAAAGATGCAATTATAAAACATATATATATAAATAATCAAAGTACTGAAATCAGTCTTGCATTTCTTTTTATCTATTTAAGCATGTAAAGGCGAACATTACAGCGCAGTCATGCAAGGATAGAAAGTTTTATTAATCCTGATTTAAGAACAACTGAAGATATACCATCTTGAAATTTGACTCGAAAATCGCCATTTTCCATCAGCCGAGCAGTGCTATCACATGATGGTTTGAAGATAATCTTAACAACACGTGCTCCCACTGCACTGACCTCATCTAGAATCTTCCTGTACAACGCAACAGCAATCTCATCCACTTTATCGGTTGTATGTTGCAGCTGTTTTAAACTGCAAATGAAAACTGGAAGATCGAATAAGATATTTATGGCATGTATATATTTAAACATAGCTAGGCCGAAAATCTTAATTATTTTAATCGGTTAGTCATAGAGTCTTTATTATACCTATAATAATTGCGATGAATTTTAGCATCAGCCGGAAGAGATGGTATTTCTTTATTTGTAGCAGGAAAATCACTGTCTGGCTGCCGAAAAACCGAAAAATTCTGTGCCCCATTCGTTGTTTTCTTTACTGTGGCGATCCATTTTACCATTATCTCATTATTTATAGAACCATTTCGATTAATTGAATGGCTTCGATCTCGAATATTAGCTTCGTAAACGATTGTTCCATTTTTTTGAAGTATAAACTGCAATGAGTTCACATATAAGGACAACTGAACAACTTACATTATTGAGAAAATTAAAATTTAAAATAGCCACGAAAATTGTTCATATTCTAACGTAACGCTCTCAGCATTAAAAAAATATGATTCCAAGCTAATCAAAATATATCAGTATGTTTATACTGAACATTGCCAACTATAGATGTAAATCACCACCTTCTCTCCTATCGATACTACTCGATGATATACAATATGTCGCTTGTGATAAATTTTCTAAGAACAATATAAAAACTTGCTAACCATTCGCATAATATAAATCAAAGCTAACAGTTGCAAGAAATAGTAAGAATATCATCTCTAACAATGAAAACATTCTGTTTTACTAATGCAAACAAATCACAGATATGAGTAAAACACAGGCACACAGAAGGCGATCATTCCGTAACAACAAAAGAAATTAATTTTATTTACCCTTCCCGCTTTTCGTATAGACTCAGAAGATTCCAAACGTGACACATCAATTGGCCATGCAAGTTCGGCAGTTGTTTTGTTTGAATGATCACCAATGTTTTTCCTTATCTCCTTTAGATTAGTATCAACTGGTGTAACAAGCACAGGTCTCCGTTCTGCACGTGATGAATGCCGCATACCATTGGATTCGTATACGTCAATCTCCCTGCAATTGATTTGAAAAATATCTCTACATAAATTTAGAGATGGAAATTTTTAAAATCAATAACTACACTAAACACATGTAGAGAAGCTCAGAAAAACACATATAGCAAACCAACGCTTCATAACATCTGATGGGACAGATGAATTTTCAATTTTCGTTTCTTACCTTCCACGCTTCCTTTCTAATGATTGTTGTTTGCCACAGTGTGCACACTGATTTTCCAAATAAATGTTATGCCGACAATTTGTTATGCCAGTCGATTCACCACGATAGTAATCCATAGACGGTCGTCGGCGATACTTAAAAGCTTTTGTTTTGAGATCAAATTGCTAAACATGGTACGTGAGTGGAAATGAATCTGCATTGTACTTAATTAATAAGCAAACAAAGCAACAAAGTTATAGAAATAATAAGAAATGTTCATAATATAGCATGGAACAAAAGTAAAAATAACCAACAGGATGAGCGCTTTCGCCACTTTCAAATGCAGAATCATTAGTTATACGCTTATGTCCATTAGCTGTTGGTCTCGCTGAGTGTGCTCGAACAATCACCGGTGAAATATGCTAAAAATAGTACCAAAAGTTTTGAAGTTCTCGATATTAATTTCAATTTAAGTATCTTATCCTTACTAAGCATTTAATTTAAAAATATGGCATATGAATTATAAGACGCGCTAATTATCTTCAATCATTCCCAAATGATTTTGCTATAAATATAGGAAAAGATTACTGTTCAAATCACAAAAAATGCCAACTTACCGCAGTTTGACAGTCACGATAAATGATCCTTTCTCTTGATGTTTCGCGAGATCGACTTATCGGAAGACTAAGTCCATCAACTTTTCTCATAAAGTCACTCAATGATATGTCTTAAATGAAACGAATCATGCATTAATTAAATGTATGGTAATGAAAAAATGACTACGTGAAAGTAGAAATGAGAATAAATTTTTCCAATTGAATTAAAATCGAAATTTATCCAACTGAACATCACTTATATTAGCTACGAAATTCAAGGCATATTGCAATCTTCAGAAAAGACTACCTCCGAGAGTAATACGTCTTTCTTCATTTGGATCCATCATACTTTGGATGAGAGTAGCACTCTCCAGCGCGATAGTTTCCTTGAAGGGATTTACTTCGCGATCTCGCGGCGGATCGTTTCCAGTTAACATCAGATACAATATTCCACCCAGAGAGTAAACATCTGCTTTTTGATTATAATGCCGATTATACACTTGTCTGCAGTATTGCATAAATTAAATACGATTCGTTCCAGGTAATTAATTCGAACTTCTCAATCAAGATCCAGTAAGATCTAATATTAGGGAATTCCATTCTATTTTACGTCTTTTGATACATTTAGTGTTAACATAAATATCAATATTGCTAGAAAATTTCGATCTTTAATTTACAAACTAATTTCCACGAATCAAAAGTCGTGAGTATCTACAGTAACATATTAAAAAAAAATTCCTTACGGTGCAATATATCCGGGAGTTCCAAGCATTGTCCTGGCAACATCACCTTTCCGAAAATTTGTTGCAAGACCAAAATCAGCAAGTTTCTATAACTCTTAGAATGATATATCATTGAGAAATGCAGCGATTAAAGATAAGTATGACAGAAAGTTTGGTTAGCAACAAATAATCCAGTGGAATACTCATTATGACTCCACTTATTCGATATTTAAAATTTGTCAGTCACTATTATAAAGTGAATATAATTAAGATTAAGCTTCTAAAACTTACAACAAATAATTTGTCTTCTCTGATCGATGAAATAAGGACGTTTCCAGCGGAGAGATCACGATGTATCATATTACGTTCATGTATATGCTTCACTGCACTTACTAATTGGCGAAGAATGTATGCCGCTGCATAAATATTATATTAAAACATAGTGTAAGCACCATAAGTCCTATGGTGAAACATAAACAACCAACCATTAGAATGGTTCTACGACATATATTAAAACTTTTATGATTTTCTTGAAATATCTATGAACACGCTACGCTGTGTTGATGTTTCCAAATAAAACAATAAAGAATTTTACCTGAAAAATCGGACAATCTTCCATTTTGTTTAACGTAATCTCGCAATGACCGATATTTGCAGTACTCCATGATGATATATTGTGCACCATCTTCTTGGAATTGGTCATAAAATTTTACGATATTGTCATGGACAAGTTTGGATAAAGCTTCTAACTCTAATTCGACTCGAAACGTCGTTGCTCTGGTGATATCAATCTAAAATACTCTTGACGTAATAAGCAGCAAATCACAATATTATAAATTTTAGGTAAAGTTAAAGTCCGAATAATTTTTTTACTTTTTTGATCGCGACGTATTTTCCGCTCCACTCCTTTCCTTTAGCAATACATCGAGCACGATAAACGACTCCAAATCCACCTCGTCCAATTTCTTCTAAATTATCGTACTCCTAGAATGTGATCACATATTTTATCTTTTGTCAAAGTCATTTTTTAATTTGAAAATTGGATGGTATACAGCGGATTTTTTGATACCAAGAATTACGATGTGGAGCATTTATAAAATGAGGTCATTAGAAGCACCCTAAGGCTTTAAAACTAGAGCTCATTCAGCAATTCGAGGCTGTAATCGTAATATGAACAAAACATAAAACGACGATAACATACACGTTGCAGACGATTCATTGTAATGGTTCAACTGTAGCACATGAAAAAAAGAAATTTGCTACCTTGGTACCCTGAAAGATATATATCTCGTTTACGAATTGAAATATATGTTTATTAAAAATACGTATTTCAGGTTATTTCTTCTAAGTAGTAACGCAAAATTCACACAGATAACTGTAAAGATACAATATCTAAGCACTCAAGCTAAGTAAATACGAGTTTGTTGAAACACTTAAAACTCTGAAATATATTTAACAGTATAATTTATTCAAACAATAATTATTAAAATCTTATCGCTTAATTAAAACTCGATGAATAAATACCCAACAATTCAACCGCTCTGTGAGTTCCACACTCCCTAAATCCATTACTATATTATATTAGGATATTTCATTATTCTCCGCTATTTCTTCAGCTATTCTTTTCTCTTCCTCAAATATTACTTCAACAATAAAAATATCATTCTTTGTAATTTCCTTAATTTCTAATAATGTAACACTATCTCACCAGGCCACACAATCTCAAACCACACAGCCTCCGGAATAAATACAAAAGGAATAAGAAGGCGCCTTTTCAGGGTTTTGAAATTTTAATTTAACAACCCCGTATGCAAAAATTTATATCCCAGGTCTTATTTATATGCAAATAAAATTAGAAATACGAAATCTTTCAAAAGTTTGAAATGGTATTTCAAGTAAATATTGCATAAGACAAGTTTATTTCATACAAGAACATCTTTAATGTATCATTTTAGTGTATCATTAGTTGTTTTGCGAATTGAATAACTGATAAGAAATTGATTAAATTCGATAAATCAATTAAAATATCTTAACATATGTTCCTATTTTAAGAAATAATATTGCTATATATTATTATACTTTAATACTCATCGTAAATAGTCTAATCGTACAAATAATATTTAAAATATTTTTATTTATAATATATATATTATATATAATTTAACAAATTTAAAAAGAAATAGTGAAATCAGTAAAAAAAATTTCTTTAAAAATGAATGTAATTAATGAGTTCATCTGATGGAATAACCTGAAATTATCCATTTAAGGTAGAAAATTTATTTAATAAGGCATTGGATTTAAATCCTACAATAGACAAAGTTGAACTATTCTTTTTTCATTCCTTATTATTTCATATTTTATCTTTTCTAAAAGTCCTAAAATTTTGATGGATATAAATTTAAAATAATAATAACAATAATTTCTTTCAACAAGGAAATTTCCACGGAATTTTAACATTCAATGAAAAGAATGCTGCTATAAATTTTAACAATTAATTTAATTAAAATTAAGATTTTTTCAATTCACTGTATTAAATCCTATCAAAGTGATATTGCTGAGATATATTCCAAGTTTATATAAAACTTACCAATATAGCAAATACGCAGTAGATTCTCTAACTTTTAAACGAAATCAAAACATTATAACCAAATCCCTGTCCGCCGCAGGATTCGAACCTGCGCCTACCGAAGTAGATTGCGACCTGAACGCAACGCCTTAGACCGCTCGGCCAGACGGACTTATCATTACTGCTTATTTCAATTCTCAATATAATTTATGAAGTTTAAAGTTAATGTTTCTTTTATTGATTTATAGCACAGCAAAAAATATTCTAAAATTGTTTTTCTAATTTTAAATATTATCATAATTATAATTTTCCTACGATTTAAAATATCACTGAGATTGAAATTTTCATTTCAATTTCAAATATTACTAAATTTAAATTCTTTTATGAGTTACGAATTATTTCATTCCCATCACTTCTATTATTGATTTATCTTATTGTTGTTAATTTCGAATGAATGATTAGAAGTTTCATTGATAAAATGATAAGAATATTTACAGGTAATAAGAGAAATTCATATGATACAATATCATGCATACAAACATATTTTAAAATAACATACAAATATTTGTGAATTGATAAAAAGATCACAGATTATATGATTAGGAAATATAAAATAGGAAGAAAACAATTGTCGTACAATTTGTAGTAATAATATTTATACGAACTTCTTTTTTGTTTTATATATATGTTTGTTTTAAAATTACAATAAGTCAATTTTAATGAATGAATTAAATTGATGGATCAAATTTGAATCATTTCCTCATTCACAAATTATAGCTCACATGGAACATCATAATATCCATCTGATAATTCAATGTATATATTCAAAGTGATGAATCAAATTTGAATAATTTCCTCATTCACAAATCATAGCTCACATGGAACATCATAATATCTATTTAATAATTCAATGTATCAGATAGATATTACGATGTTCTATGTGAGATTCAGATTTTCTTCAAATCTATCCTTAAATTCATTCTACATTGTTATCTTCAGAAAGTGCAGCATTTAAGCATTTTTGAGAGCAATATCGTCGTTGTCGATGACTGTTAAATTGACCAATTTGTTGTTCCAACATACCACAATAGGAACATAAGGAAAATCCTAGCCGCTGTTTATCTTTAATAAAACGATCACCAAAAATTACCACTGATCCTTTTGGACGCCATACATTGATGATATGACGATCAAAATCAGTCATTACCCATGTTCGATTACCTAAAAAATAAACAAATGTTTTTGGATTAATTATTTAAAGAAAAAAAGATTGGAAATTTTTTATCAGAAGAAATTTTGCCCTTGAAGTTTATTCCTTAATTCATATATAATTTTAAGGTTATTTTATCAACTAATGTTATCAAGATTGTCACATTTATCATTTTAGCATTTCTTAGTGATAAACTGGCATATGATATATGTGATCCATTAATTAATTCCTAGTACCTAAAATGCTTTTAATGTTAGCTAACAATTTATTCTATTTAAACTAATTAGTCTTATTTAGTATGCTTTTCTTACTTGGTTGAAAGTATCGGTAGATATGTCTTAGTAAGCCAAAAAATAACTTCCCTTGATGCTCTATGATTACTTTAGGACTCTCAACATTTCCAATCCTATGACATTAGTGTGTCCAGATTGTATCTCAGAGCCTATTAAAGTGGAGGATTGTCTAATGATTTAATAAGTGTGGAAAAGAAATGAGCCAAATAGGCCTATCATTAATTTAAATTATAATCAATTTGATTATAATTTAAATTATTATAATCAAATTATAATCATATTTGAAAGTGTAATGCTATTTGGTTGTAAGAATTTACTATATTTATGCTTGAATTCCATTAAATTGTTCAGAATTGAAATATTTTCTAAATTAATGCAACAAATTAATCGCATAAATGAAAGGTTAGATTCGTTCTGTTTAATTAACTTTAATGAAACCACTATTAGATGTAATGTTAAATGACCGAAAATGCTGTCAACGACAAGGTGCAATAATTTCCACAATCACTATTGAATTCATTATATGAAGATTTAAAACATTTACGACAAATTGAATTATATCTGAATTCATTTTCCGTATTATAATATATTGAGATACATTTCATGAATGCTTTGTTTTAATTAAATCAAAGTTGAATTAACGGTTATTCATTTTCTGATTGATTTGAACAGAAAAATTAAAAGATTAGGTCAAAAACTTTTTTCTTCAAAAATTAATTTCAACCAAAGCACGATTCGATGTCATCATGTGGGATTGTTGAAAATGCTGTCAGTGAGAAGATACGATAATTCTGATAAATATCATTGACAAAAATTAACGAAAAAAAAGTGATGTATCTTTTACAAAATAAAGGAAAAAGAAATTGAAAAATATTTTAGAATAAAAAATGAATTAAAATCAAATTAATCACTACCTGTAATTAATGTGATATTGAAATATTCTTAATAAATAAAACTATTTTCAACAGAAATAAGATGAGAATTGAAGATGAAGTGTCGTATAAGTATAATTCTATAATATAACATAATATAATATAACATGAGATATTATACTAATACTTTACTTTTCTAGAATGCTAGATCATTCATTCACTGCTTAGAAAAGATTGAAAATGTCTATCTATGGCTCTTGTAGACAGCCCATATGTTATTCAATTTGATGAACTTCAAACCATCAAGA